ACGAGTGGTAGGGATCTAAGTATCTGAAGCATCATCTGCTGCCTCCCAGGGTGTGCATTAGCAGGAAGCTGAAATTGGGAGCAGAGCTGAAACTCAAATCCTTGCATTCCAACTTGGGATGTGGGCATTCCAAGTGTCAATCACTGAGACAAATCCCTACTTCTCCAGTCTTATTTCATATTACTTTAGCATGTGGAACCTATAGTCCAAATAGTCTCCTCAAGCCCCACGATACATACTCATATTTCGCCCTTTGTCTTTAATAGATGGCTTGCTTCCTCTTTAGTACATTTCAAGTACTTTGTCCCCAACAAGCCTTCCTCACTCACTTCAACCTCACTGTGTTTTCTCAAACACACAGTATTTTTCCATATTCCGAACATTCAACACTATATTAAAAGGGCTTACATTTCATGAGCGGTTTACGTGTGCTCACAGAAGAACTTGACTAGGGGCTGATTATTCACACTTAGAGATGGTGTGGCTCCTCACTTCCTGGCTAACTGTGAAAATGGAGCCTCTGCTGGAAAGTTCACATATGATCTGAATGAGGAACCTGGAAGCCATTAAGCATGTAGTGAGTGAATAAATAATATGAGATATTATTATTATTATTCTCTTTTACTAACTAATCTTTATATTTTAGTCCACTGAAAAATACAAGAAAATATATCACTGTTTGGAAGAGGAAAAAAAAAAATGGATTCAAGTTACTAGTTTACCCTGCTAATACTTTGTGTGAAAGACAAATTTGTTAAAATCTTGTGACTTACTTATGTTACCTATCAAAGAAGAGTAACTACTGGGGCCAGTGCTGTGGTGCAGTTAATCCTCCGTCTGTGGCGCCGGCATCCCATATGGGTGCCAGTTCTAGTCCCGGCTGCTCCTCTTCCAGTGCAGCTCTCTGCTATAGCCTGGGAAAGCAGTAGAAGATGGCCCAAGTCCTTGGGCCCCTGCACCTGTGTAGGAGACTGGGAGGAAGCTCCTGGCTCCTGACTTTGGACTGGCGTAGCTCTGGCCATTGCGGCCATTTGGGGAATGAACAAATGGAAGGAAGACCTTTCTTTCTGTCTCTCCTGTTCACTGTAACTCTACCTCTAAAATAAATAAAATATTTAAAAAGAGTAACTACTATAACTAATAAAATAGAATTAAAGATGATTTGTAAAGTTATAAACTATTGTAGCACTAAAATTGTTATTGAGGCCGGCGCCGCGGCTCACTAGGCTAATCCTCCGCCTTGCGGCGCCGGCACACCGGGTTCTAGTCCCGGTCGGGGCGCCGGATTCTGTCCCGGTTGCCCCTCTTCCAGGCCAGCCCTCTGCTGTGGCCAGGGAGTGCAGTGGAGGATGGCCCAGGTGCTTGGGCCCTGCACCCCATGGGAGACCAGGAAAAGCACCTGGCTCCTGGCTCCTGCCATCGGATCAGCGCAGTGCGCCGGCTGCACCGCGCCGGCTGCACCGCGCCGGCCGCGGCGGCCATTGGAGGGTGAACCAACGGCAAAAGGAAGACCTTTCTCTCTGTCTCTCTCTCTCACTGTCCACTCTGCCTGTCAAAAAAAAAAAATTGTTATCGAGGTACATATTTTGAGTATTAAAGGGGAAAACAGAAAATCAAAATAATTCATGGAACTCAAATATTTTTTCTAAGTATTATCTAAGTAAGGAAATCTGTTGTCATATTCATTTTGTAAATAGTAGTTTTTGAGTGAAGATGTGACCTCCTTCATGTCTTTGTAAACTAGATGGTAGATTAGTAATTCAGATAGGAGAGGACTGTCATGGCCTCTTGTAACGGAGCAGTAAGTCCTCCAAAGAAAGGGACAGGACATTTCGGACATCCTCTGAGAAAATCAATAAGGTTTAGATGGCCAAATGTGGAAAGGACAATGATTGTGGTCACAGTTGACGCACAGGAGAGGAAGACAATTCTATTTGGGGGTTGCCTAAAAATTACCCAAGAAGATCATAAAGTAACATATACCATTCTTCAAGCTCTTACACCACGCTAGGCATGTATAGCATGCTTTACATATATTTTTACTCACTTCTTCCTGCCTAAGACTGCAAGATAAACATCATTATCCCCATTTTATAAGTAATAAACTCATCTTTACAGGTTAAATAATTTACCCGGGCTCTTGTGACTTATATGTGATGGTGGAACTGGGATTTTAAACTTGGGTTTGTTTGATTTCAAAGAATACACGTTACCATGTTATATCAACATTGAAAGAGAAGTATCTAGAAAAGTTCAAGGGCTCAAAGAGGGTTTTATAGCTGCAGTCCATAAACTACTCTCTATATTTGGCTTTCAAAGTTAAAAGAAATATTTTAGCTTTAATAAGGTGACAAGTTTTGAGAGAGAGAGAAAGCTGGAGGAGAAAGAGCTTTCAAAATGCCAAAGCTGTTAAGTGGTTGGCCCTGAGCCACGGAGGCCTAGTACCCAAGGTTTTTGAAAGTTAAAAGATTTCTATACAATAATAGGTTAAGCCAAGTATTTTAGTTGAAGAACTATTAAGAGTAGGTTTCTTATAAGCTGAACAAGTTAGCCCATATGACTTGATACTTGAGATTTCAGTGTACTGGTTCAAGTGGTTCTTCTTGCATAGCCATGCATAGGTGACAATTATACAGAACAGCTATTAAGCATTTTCTGTGCACCAGATTTTGTTCTAAATGCTCTACACTTGATCTTAACAACAACCTTAACAAGGTGTCGACTTCCATTTCCATTCTCTCTCTCTCTCTTTTTTTTTTTTTTTTTGACAGGCAGAGTGGACAGTGAGAGAGAGAGAGACAGAAAGGTCCTCCTTTGCCATTGGTTCACCCTCCAATGGCCGCCATGGATGGCGCGCTGCGGCAGGCACACCGCGCTGATCCGATGGCAGGAGCCAGGTACTTATCCTGGTCTCCCATGGGGGTGCAGGGCCCAAGCACTTGGGCCATCCTCCACTGCACTCCCGGGCCACAGCAGAGAGCTGGCCTGGAAGAGGGGCACCGGGACAGAATCCGGTGCCTCAAGAGGGTCTAGAATCCAGTGCCCCGACCGGGACTAGAACCCGCTGTGCTGGCGCTGCAAGGTGGAGGATTAGCCTAATGGGCTGCGGCGCCGGCCTCATTCTCTTCTTAAGGATTAAATCATGATTCAAATACAGCCCCTGTTGTCAGAGCAAACACTCCTTAACTGGTAACTGCTGCAATTAAGTAGCATTTCATTCATCACTAGTTTGTTATTTTATAATAACCTTTTCTAAGATGGTTCCTCATAAAATGTCACTTAGCAAGCAAATTTAGAAATCAGTAGTATTTGTAATAACTGACAACTAACTGGAATTACACGCAATGACAATAGTATTATTTTAGATTTTTAGAGACTATGCTAAGAAATGGGCTCTATGTAAAGACCTTATATACTCAAAACTTATTAAATGTGACTTTGAGAAAAATGAACTATTTGTATTTCAGGATAATTGCTGCCTTATTAAACTATTTATATTTTAACATTCAGATGATACATTATGAACAGAAATGTTACTCTGTAAAATAAGGTAATTATTTATTTGTTTATACTTACTTTCAAAGCTCCAAATTAATGTATTATGAGTTTATAAAATGCAGTGCATAAAGAGAATAACATTATTATTACAGTGTATGCCAAAGGATGGTTTATTCTGAAGTGGAGTTTATATTGTGAAGACTGATTTAATCAGCATATTCTGTGGAGAACATTTATAGTAAATGAAGAATTTTACTTAGGTGAATAAATCTAAAATATTTCTTAACCTTAGTGACTATAACAACCTTTTAATGGCCAGATTCTATATTAAACTAAGGAAAATTCAGGGAGTCTGAGATACTTAAAGCCTGGGAAATATTTTAAAATTAGACAAATTAAAATTCTTACTTCAAAAGACAAATTAAAACTTATCAACATGAACTTGCATACATTAACAGTTTTAAATGATTATAATCTAATAAAGCTCTACAACCTGAATGAAAACTAAAGTGGAAGAATCATTTTGAAGTTCACATTTATCTGGAGAGGGTTATCTTAGTCCTTGATTTACCTATATTCAAGAAAATATTGATTTTGTATATTTAAATGTGTGTATGTGTGTGTATTTTCATTTATTTTGTATATATAAAATATAAATGAGTAACAAAAATTTTTCAAGAATAACTGAAAATAATAATGAAGTATAAGTTAATAGTAAGTTTTTGGGTTCTACTATACTTTGCATAAATTAAAAAATTCTACATCAAATAAGGCATCTTTTATAGTAATGAACTACAACATTTTAGAAAATGTTTCAAAAATCTGTAGGGTGTGAGTTATTGAAGACTTTGAAGAAATTAGTTTCTATTTCCCTGGAAAAGCCACAAGATATTTAAAAAAAATTTGCATTTTTCAGTTAGTAAACACACACACATATAGATACAAACATAAATTGTTCTGTAACCAAACTTCAGGTAATGTGTATGACACCTTCATGGATATAAAGTAATCATGAAACATAATCACACTATCATCCATCCAATGGATAAAGATTTTAAATGCATGTGGTTTTTTTTACAATATAGTATTATCTAAAAATTGTATTATTTTTGAAAAACTTCCTTCAAAAATTAACTTTATCTATAACATCTATTAAATAAGTAGCAAAAGGTCAAAATATAGTTAACATACACCCATAAATTAGTCTAAAATTGCTTTTAAATGATAAAATAGTATGATCCACAGGGTGGGTGCAGTGGGTAACACTGAATTACAGAACACAATTAAAAAAAAAAAACCTGATGGTGCTAACTTTAGAAATAATTTAATTTTATTTCTATCGGAAGAAGACATTTCAAGGAAAAAAAATTCATGCACACATTTAGAGGCAGTTCTGGTTGCTGGCATCCTACCCCCCATCTGTAAAAGAATGCTTGTTGGCATGAGGTTCCATCAATTCGCTTGTGATTTCTAAATTAATTCTGAAGGAAACCACAACTTACTTGAAGATCCCGCTGAGTGTCTGTGTGCCTGACTTTTTTTTTCTCTATTCACAGACAAAGCACTTCCACTGGTCATGGAAAAAAGGTCTAAATCCGTGTCTTCTCTGCTTACAAGTCTTGCCTGGGAGCAATGGGAGAGAATGTATACAATCATGAAACAAAATATGGCATTTTCTGAACGCAGCTCACATTACCCCAAATAAACAAACAGGCTCTGTCAAACAACCTTCTTCAAAATGATACCACAATCCTTTATTGCTGCCCAGGCAGAACAAATGCACTATGTCAAAGCATTTTTTGCAAATAAGAGCCGATTTTAAAATTGAGGTTTGCTATTTGAGTCTGTACAACAAAAGAAAACATTTTAGTACAGTAATTTTGATGAAAATCAATCTCAAAGGCAGCTGGTGAAACTTTAAACAGCTTAACATCACTTATTTACCAAGTATATTATTTAATTCTTTATTGAATGCTAGAAATGTCATATTATATTATTTTATGAAATATTTATATTTCACCACTTATAACTATTAGTCTTCCTAATAAAAGTCCCTAAAATGCCTTTCATCCCATATTTGTCTACCACAAAGTCACAGATGATCTCCACCTTCACGTTATAACCATGGCCAATAAAAGAATATTGTATATTAAGTCTAATTCGTGGGTAATGGTAAATATGTAGAAACTTCAGGATATACTCTTTTTAAGGATATAGGGATTAAATAATTCATCTCATGTAAAATTATCTTCGTAGTTTTATTGCTATCTTAGATAGAATCTAGAAATTGAAAGAATTGCTTTCTACCTATAAAATACTATAAAATGCCTAACATCATTATGTAAGGACTTAAAAAGAATTCATCTCTGCAGTGGGGGAAATGCCATGATGGGAAGCAAAGCAGACTCAAAGTAGCTGGGATTTAACCCAAACCACAGTACGCTTGAAATCCTGTGAAAAAGCATTGTCTTTCATGTTTGATGTGAGGAAAATTTAAATACAGCAAAATAAAAGCATAAAACCACCACTGTGACTAAAAAGTTGTCTCCATATGATGAACTACAAAGACTTGAGGATTCAGAGTCTAAAACTCAAAACCTCTTTCAAACTGATCAATTCACCCTTTTCCTTTATATGCTTTTATCCATCCTCCCACTCTCACACATATGAACTCATTGTTTATTCATATTTTGCTCAATTTATTTAATTTTAACGGACAAATAAAATCCTTTATATTTATTGTGTACAACATGATGCCTAGAAATTTATATACACAAATATAAATGGGAATGGGTAAATAGAGCTGACATGCACATTACCTCATATACTTAGCACCTAGCATTCTTTTAAAAGATTTATTTATTTATTTGAAAGGCAGACTGATGGGGAGAGAGAGAGAAAGAGAGAGAGAATATCAATCTTCCATCCACTGGTTTACTTCCCAAATGCCTGCAACAGATAGGGACAGGTGAGGTGGAAGATAGGAGTCAGTAACTCCATTTGGGTCTTCTATAAGTGTGGCAGGGTCCCAAGTACTAGAGCAATCATTCTCTGCCTCCCAGGCATATTAACAGGAAGCTGAATTTGAAGGATGAAATAGCCAGGACTGAAACTGGCACTCTGACATAGGATGTGGGTGTCTCAAACAAGCAGCTTAACACACGGGACCACAACACCTGCCCCATATACTTATTAATTTGTAATAAGAAAGTGTGAATTTTGCCCAGAATAGGAACCATTCTATAATGTTAGGTTTTTATTTTTTTAAATAGCAAACAATTAAACTAGCAGTGATATAACTGCATCATCAAAAACATCAGTAGAAAACTTTAAAATGTAATAAAAGCTGACTTCCAATCTACACTTGTGATTTGTATGAAAAATGCTATAGTTTCTTTCTGAAACTCATTTTAGCTAGTGCACATCAGTACATGTCTAACATTCCCATTACAATGGCTCAAAGGACCAGTGTGGAGGTGCAATGGGTTAAGCTGCTGCTTGTGAAGCTATTATCTCGTATCAGAGCGCCATTTCAAGACCAAGATTTTGAGCAAGCTCCCTGTGAATGAGTCTGGGAAAGCAGTGGAAGATGACCCAAGAACTTGGGTTGATGCCACCCACATGGGAGACCCAGATGGAGTTCCCGACAACTGGCTTTGTTAGCTTGGCCGAGACATGACTGTTGAGGCCATTTGTAGAGTGAACCAGGGGATGGAGGTTTTCCTCCACCCACACCCCCTGTCTCTCCCTCCATCACTTGGTCCCTTCCTCCCTCTGTTGCTCTGCCTTTCAAATAAACAAAAAAGTCTTTAAAAAAAGTAGTCAAGAATTAAAAGGGAAACACCAAAGCAGTAGCACAATACAGATGAGACTAGATAGCAAAGAAACGCTTGTGAATCACATGCAACTCCTCCTGCTGTCTAAAGAGGCACCAATTAAAAGCCTCAAGATTTAAAAATAATTTATTCCAAGGAATAAATGCCTTCCAAAAATCTCATGATATTCTAAGTCATTAACATCCAAAGGACTGGTGCTTCCAAAACAGAAAACAATTAAATGTCAATTAATAATTAGGTCAGAATTTATAGGGAGTCAAATTTAGAAGTAAAATTTAGCAAGAACACATGATTTCATAATGGTGCCACCTAGCAACTTAAATTCACATTTGAAATTTCATAAATTGGCTGGTTATGTCTGTCAGTGCATCTGGCACAGCCCATGTGTGTTAATATTTAATTCTATTTCTCAAAACATAGGCTTTCAAGACTGAACATCAATCTTTATCTTACTGTTAACAAATGGGAAACTTTAAGGAAAAATATCTTTTTTTTCTATATCATACAAAGAAAATATACAGTTGTCTCTTGATAACCATGGGGGATTGTTCCATGACTCCTGCAGCTATCAAAATCTGTGTACATACAAGTTTATTATAGAAAATGATCTAATACTTGCATACACTTTCCACACCTCCAGCAATACCCTTTAAATCATTTATGTATTACCTTTAATAATGTAATGTAAACAATATGTAAGTAGCTGTTCTGTTGTTTAGGGAATAATGGCAAGAAAAAAGTTTGCACAATTTCAGTACGAATACAGTTTTTTATTCAAACATTTTCAACTCATAGCTGTCAAATCTGTAAATGCAGAACCCTTGGATTCAAAGAGCTGATCATTCTTAAAAGCTGCGGATGCACACTTAACTGCTACAACAGCACACATTAAAACAAACACGAAATCATACATTCAATACTTATTCTACAAAAATAAAAGTTAAGTTTTAAAGCACAACAATATGAATGCAATAAACATTCTCACATTAATGTCATAATAATTCTCTAATTGTAGCAATAAAAATATTTACTGATCAGTAATTATGCAAAGTGCTTCCAGGTTTTTGGTTTCTGAATATGTCCCATTTATAGACTTACATATGAGGTTTGTAGTTTTCTTATATTTCACAGTGAAATGAGGTGTGTGAATTTTGGAAGGACTCTATGCAACTGTTTTCTAATTAATCTGTAACCTTGGCAACTTAATTAGAAGTAGCTATTTTCTCTCACTTAATAATAAACAAGAACTTCCTCTTTTCTGTATTTTCCTAAGTAAGATTTTATTATTTATTTTAAAAGTTTTGCATTTTTTGGAAACAAAGATATGTCATGCAATACACATTAAAAACAAGTTCCTATGTACTTATTACTTAGATTTTTTTTTGAAACAAGATTTATTTATTCATTTGAAAGACAGAGTTACAGAGAGGCAGAGGCAGAGAGAAAGTCTTCCTTCTGCTGCTTCACTCCCTAAATGGTTGCAATAGCCAGGGCTGGGCCAAGCTGAAGCCAGGAGCCAGGAGCTTCTTCCAGGTTTCCCATGTGGGTGCAGAGGCCCAAGGACTTGGGCCATCTTCTACTGCTTTCTCAGGCCATAGCAGAGAGCTGGAGCGGAATTGGAGCAGCAGGGACTCGAATCGGTGCCCATAAGGGATGCTGGTACTGCAGGTGGCAGCTTTATCCATTATGCCACAGTGCCGGCCCCCAGCTTTTTTTTTTTTAAGAGAAATAAAATGTCTTAAAGATGAAATTTCTTTATATATATTACCTCATAGTTTTCTACATATATATGTTAAAATTTTTAGAGTGTAATCATACATTGTATAATGATGTTACAATGATGGATGGCATATATAATTATACTGAGGCTCAAAATTTAATATTGTTTAAAATTCTTATTGTTTCACAATGTAGTACTGATGTAACTGTCAAAACATTATAAGACACACATTATTGTGGTGGTATTGCTGTAAACAAATCTGTCTTGCCAGTAGTTAAAGTATAGCAACATAAATATATACTGTCCATAAAACGTGATGGTAATAAATAACTATATTACTGGTTTAGCTATTTACCATATTATATGAGAGCTCCCATCCCTTGGTTTTCTCCCCATAAGCCTGCAATGGGGCGGGACCTGGCAGAAGCCAGGAGCTAGAATGCAATCCAGGTCTCCCACCTGTAGGGCAGAACTCAATTCCTTGAGTCATCGATGCTAACTTCTGGGGGCCTTCATTAGCAAGTTGGAGTCTGAGGCCAGGGCCAGGAATTGAACCCAGGTACTCTGATCTGGGATTTGGGTGTCTTACCTCTATATTATTTTCAAAATTAATCTAAATAAATGGGATCACTTTTCTGTAACTTTTTTCATTATACATTGCATCTATAAAATCTGGGATTAGGTCATTCATTTTAATTGTTTGAATAATTTGCAAATTTAAAATTACTACAAATGTCTAAGCTTACACATCATCATTTGTATTATTTTTAGACATATGGGTGATTTTAAAAAATCATCTGAATTTCCTTTCCAGAGAGCTGAGTTATGTCTACCTTTCCATTCATAATACATCATCAGTATTGCACAAATTACTTTGCTTACATAACAAGTTAGCCTATGTGGGTGGGAAAGGCACTATAAATGTTTAAAGGAAATAGAGATATAATTTATGTGCACTAAAATACACAGATCTAAAATAAGAAATTCAATTATTTTCACAATTTTTGTTTTCACATTTCAAAAATTAAAAATCCTATAATAGTTGAAAATAGTTGTACTTTGTGTTT